CCCCTCTCCCGGCTGCAGTGGAAACGCGGCTGCCGCTCCAGGGGAAATGCTACTTGAATTAATCATGGCGCTGGCCGCTGTGCCAAGCCCAGGAGGAGGCTGCTGGCAGCGCCAGGAAATAGCTTTCGCAGGAATTTGGAAGGAGTGCACTCCTCCGGCTGCAGCAGCGTCGCCGCCTCCCCCACCCTGCGCCCCACGTCCCCGCCACCCAACCCCACACACCCCGCACCCAGCTGCTGCCCGTCCTTGCCCTGGGCATCGCCTCAGGCTGGGAGGGAGGCAGGGGCTCCCTCCTCATGCCCAAAGGCCCAAGGGCTGCGTACCCCAACTCTCCCCCCCGACAGTGCAACACACGCAGCACAAGGCTTGCCCAGGCACTGCCCTGGGACCAACCTGCACACACAGCACTGCAGGTTTGTAAGGGTTTACCCGTGGCATGACCTCTGCCCTCTGGATGGGGTGCACCACGAGCCTGTGCTGCCACGTGAGCACGGCCATGTGACAGGGGCGTCCTGCCATGTGTGCTCCCTCCGCGCCTGGCCTAGACAGGGAGCCCTGTGGGGCAGGGATAGCAGGCGAGGCTTGGCACCGTGGGCCCACCCCACTACGCAGGCGGAGGCTGCAGCGTGGACAGCCCACTGCTGGGGGTCCCCTCAGCCCAGCACCAGGTGCGATCGCATCTCCCAGGGCCCCGGTGGGGACCTCTTCATCTCCCACCGCGGTCCGAGGCCTGGTAGGGAGCGGGAAAGACCCAGAGAGGGCAACGCCGGGGCACAGGGCAGGTCAACTCGTGCCCTGCTTTTGTACAGAACAAGTGCCACGTCAGGGCCTACGGGGACAAACGTGGTCCGGGGCAAGGGCCACATGCGTTACGGTCGCAGAGCACTGAGAGCGGGGCTGCGTGAGCGGGCTCCCGGGGCTGCAGCAACACCCCTGGTGCGTGCCTGGGCAGGGACCCCAGAGACCCACCAGCCCCCTGGCCTCACGGGGCACGATCCCGGGGCTGGGAACCACAGCCAGACACGCTCCAGCTAGAAACCAGGCGCGGCCTGGGGCAGGGAGGGGGATGAACCGTGGGAGCCACTCACCCGGGGACCTGGCGGATGCTCCGTCACTGGGAGCGTGCGCACAGAGGCAGCCTCTCTGGGAAGCCCCGTCCTGGCCCACCTGCTCGGGGCTGGAGGGGATGGGCAGGAGGTTGACCGGGGGCCCCGCAACCCCTTCGCTCCAAGTTTGTGCCCTGCAGACCTCGGCCAGGTCCCCAGGCCTGGCTCCCCTTGCCGGGGCGCGGTGCCGAGCTGGCCGGCCGGTCCAGCCTCCGCTCCCAAGCTCTCACGTTTCCCAGCGCAGAGGAAGCGGCAGCAGATGTGCGAGCTGTTTGCTTTGTGCCGGGGCCACGCGGGAGTTACCTGCGCTGGGCCCAGCCGGGCGGCTTCCAAGCGAAACACCGAGCCCAGCCAAGTCCCCGCCGCATGGGGCCGTGCAGCCGGGGCTGCCTCTAGCCTCCCCCCAGCCTGGGGGAAGCAACACCTCCTGCGCGGCGTGGGCCCCGGCCCCCAGCCCTGCCACACAGACCCTCCTACCTCACCGAAGGCAGCCCCCCACAACTGCATTTCCAGAGGCCTCCCTGCCAGCAGCAGGAAGGCACAGGGGCTTCCCCGGGCAGGGAGCTGCTCCCCTCCCTTGAAGCCCCACCACAGGCCTGCCCTCCCCCCAGTTCAGCTCACTTCCCCCATCACTGGAGCCCCCCACGGTGCCTTGCACAGGCGCAGAGCCCTGCATCCATGGGAGCTGGGGTCCCCCCCACCACATCCCATGACCCCACACTAATGGCCAAGGAAATCCATTACAGGGCGACAGGTGTCCAGCATGGTCACACACCCCAGAACAGGCTGCCCGTGTGTCCGGCATGGTAATGCACCCCAGCACAGGCCGCCCATGTATCCGGCACGGTCACACCCCAGTACAGGCCACCCACATGCCCAGCACGGTCACACATCTCCACGCTGGCCGTCCATGTGCCCAGCACGGTAACACACCTCTGCAGGCCGCCCACACCCCAGTGTGGTCACGCAGCCCAGCGCACACCACCCACGTGCCCACCATGGTCACACACCCCAGCACAGGCTACCCACATACCCAGCACAGTCACACACTCCCACACAGGGCGTGCACATGCCCCACGTGGTCACACATCCCTGTGCAGGCTGCCCATGAGCCCAGCATAGTCACACTTTCAGGCAGCCCACCCATGTGCCCACCACGGTCAACCCCCCCAGCACAGCCCACCCGCGTGCCCACCAGTGCAAGCTGCCCACGTGCCCGGCACAGTCACACACCCCTGCATGGGCTGCCCACATAGCCGGCATGGTCACACATCCCTGCGGGCAGTGGCCCGGTATGCTGCCCTAGCTACGAGCACAGGTACAGGTACAAGGGTGTCCTGCATGGTGGTGACAGCCAGGGACTGGGGGTCAGGATACCGGGGTCCTTCCAGCTCAGCAGTGGCCAGCAGTGTTTCGGATGAAGGAAAGGTGCTGACTGCTGCCCAGAGCTGCCCTCTCACCACCAGGACCAGCAAAAGTGTCAGCGCCTTGAGGATGCTCATGTTCCACAGATGCCTGCTCTGCATTGGGAGGGTGGCTGAGGCACAGGTGGGAGCACAGCCTCCTCCCTCTCCGGCACTGCCAGCCTGTCCCCGGGGAGGCACGAGGGGCGCGCGGCAGCCAGGTGCTGGATTCAGCTGAAACTCCCCGGCTGCCAGGGGACTGCCAGCCTGGCAGGGCTTATCACGCAGGTTTGCAGTGCCCGCCTGCAGGGCACAATCCTGGCCGGGGTCTGTGCAGCACCCGGCACAACAGGGCCCTGATCCCGGCTGGGGTTTGCGCAGCACCCGGCACAACAGGGCCCAATCCATCCTGGCTGGGCCTGTCCAAGCACGTGCACCATGTGCCCACCTATTCCCGCTCCACACGGCCCAAACCTGGGACGTGGCAGCGAAGCTGCTAAGAGATGCCCGCTGCGCTCAAGACCGTTTACACCACTCTGCCCCCCAGGCCCTGCCCCAGAGCCCACTCAGCTCTGACCCCTTCCTCCTCCCGCACTGACCCCTGGCCCCAACTCCTGCCTTGCTGCCCCCACCCACTCTGCACCCCACTCCCCTCCCTTTTCCCTGCGCCTGCCCCGCCATCAGCCCCCACCTGTAGGAAGCAGGTCCCTGCAGGCGTGTTCTCCTTCAGGGACACATTATAAAAGTTGCTCTTGAATACGGGCTCGTTGTCGTTGACATCCTGCAACACCACGAACACCACGGCCGTGGAAGAAAGCGCGGGCGTCCCACCGTCCGTGGCCAGCACTGTCAGCTGGGGCTGGGGGTCCATCTCGTAATCCAGGGGGGCAGCAGTGGTGATGATGCCCGTGGCGGGGTCAATGGCGAACCAGCTGGCGTGGGTGTCGGGGCCCTGCAGGATGCTGTAGCGCACCTCCCCGTTCGGGCCCTGGTCCTTGTCCCGGGCGGTCACCTGCAGGACAAAGCTGCCCGGGTACACCACCTCGGGGATGCTCTGCCGGTACTCCTGCTGGTCGAAGAGCGGCGGGTTGTCGTTGACATCCGTCACCTGCAGCACGAAGGCAGACTCTGCCCGCAGCGGTGGCGTCCCCGAGTCGGTGGCCGTCACGCGCAGGTCGTAGGAGTCCCGCTCCTCCCGGTCCAGCAGCTGGTCCACGCAGATCAGGTAGATGATGTTGTCCTTGGTGGTGAGTGCGAACTTGCCGTCGCCGCCCTCCAGGGAGACGTTGACGTTGGCATACTCGCCGTAGTCGGGGTCCGAGACGGAGATGCGCGCCACGTACTGGCCAGGCTGCGCCCCCTCGGAGATGCGGGGCGAGCCATCCTCGCTCAGGAAGATGATGGTCATGGTGGGCTGGTTGTCGTTGTAGTCGCGCACGTGGATGGTGACAAAGGCTGTGGTGACCTCGGGGTGCACCGCCCGGTCCCGAGCCTGCACCACCAGCTCGTGCACCTTGCGCAGCTCGTAGTCCAGCCCCTTGTTGAGCCGGATGACGCCGGTGCGGGCATCGATGGTGAAGTACTGGTCGGGGTCGCTTTGGCGCCGGTTGATCTCGTACACCACAGCCCCATTGTCGCCCTCATCTGCATCGGAGGCGAAGACCTGCAGGATGCTGCTGCCGGGCTTCAGGTTCTCGGAGATGAGGGTGTGGTAGCGGCTCTGGTTGAAGGCGGGCGCGTTGTCGTTGACGTCCTGCACTGATACCTGCAGGGTCATCTGGGTGCTCCGGGGCGGGGAGCCACCGTCGTAGGCCTCCAGCACCAGGGCGTAGGACGAGCGGTTCTCCCGGTCCAGCACCCCGCTCACCACGAGCTCGGGCTGCAGGACCCCGTTGGGGCCGCGACGCGTCTCCAGCCGAAAGGCCTGCCCCACGTTGCCCCCCTTGATGGCGTAGCCCTGGGTGTTCAGCTGCCCGCTGTCGGCGTCGAAGGCGGGGTCCAGGGGGAAGCGGCTGCCGGCGGGCGTGTGCTCAGGGATTTGGAGGGCGCCGCGGCGCCGCGGGAAGGCGGGCGCGTGGTCGTTGATGTCGTTCACCTGGATGCCCACCTCCACCGTGACGCCCTCGGGGGTGACGGCAATGAAGCTGTAGCGGTCCCGGGTCTCCCGGTCCAAGACGCGGGCTGTCTTGATGATGCCCGTGTTCTCGTCGATCTCCAGGTCGGTGGCAACGCCGCTACCCTCCTGAGCCGAGATGAAGTACATGTAGGCAGTGGTGCCGGGGGGCAGCCCGGCGCTGATGTCCCCAATGATAGTGCCCGCCGGCTGCTCCTCGTCGATTTGGAGATCCAGGGTGCCCAGCACCGTGGAGGCCTGCCCCGCTCGCGGGCTCCCCAGCAGCAGCAGCAGCAGCAGCAGCAGCAGCAGGGCCGTCCCCTCCAGCCGCCCCATGGTCAGCAGCTCGTCGAGGCACGGTGATGGCAGCAAGGGTGGCTCTGTCTCCAGCGCGGTGCGCTCCGTAATCCTGCGAGGAATGCAGAGCAGAGGAGGCCGGTCAGGAGGGCAGCAGCAAGGGGCCAGGGGGAGGGGAGCCCTCCCAGGAGCCCACCACCCCCTGCCCCACATCCCCGCCCCCCACCCCAGCAGGCTGACCGGGCCAAGAGGATGCAGGGAAGGATGTGGCCGAGCAGAGCGGAGGTAAGGGGCCAAGGCGAGAGGCCTGGGCTG